AAGCCTTCAACTTCACATTAAACATCCCAGAACTCCTATGGAAAAAAATAATTTGGATGGGGTAGTGGTGCACAAATGCACCAAAACTACTTTGCAGCCACAGTGCTTTTGTGTTACTTCCCATTCCCATAACACATCCCCATGCATTGTTTTAGTCATACAGTAACATAATGTCAGTTCCGATGCACCAGGATTCATCAGTACATCTTGCAGGAGATGGAGTCAAGGAGAAAACTGGCCCTTTCCCCCCTCTCCTGTCACAGATGGAAGTCCATCTAGTACACAACGACAAGCAACTATGGCACATGTGGGCTGCACTCTGTAGACGCTACATCCAAGATTCTACACCAAGGCAATAGAGAAGAAATTTATACACATGGAGTTAGTTATGCTTCAATTGTGTAATGAGGCCTCATTAATGAAAGGCAATGAGTTTTTAACCCAAACTCAGGCACGACTTATGCACAATAACTATTCATGTACATCTTTCATGAAATGTGTATCCACGTAAAACAGCACTTCATGCAATGGTGTCACTAGGATCGGTGTCACCCAATGCAGTAACTCATGGTGTCACCCCCCCACACACTGACCTCTTCCCACCCCACACAATATAGAATCCTTAGTAAGTTTTGTTGTGCGTGCTAATGTTACTTGTAAGTCATAATTCCTGTATATCACTGGATGTAATGGCAATAGCTGTGACATAAACAACTAGCATAATGAAAATTATACCATTTAATTACAATATCATGCGCACAGCCTAAGGAGATTATCCCACCATTCTAATAACCCAGTTTACCTCTTCCTAATTGAAGTCTAATTCAGGAGGCAGCCAGGTCCTATCACAAGGATCTTGCTGCCAAAGCCTCCAAGCGAGTTCAGCCCAGCTCCATCCTGCGTCCCCAGCGCACTTTGGCAGACATTTTTGTTAAGTCAGAAAGCTTCCGATTTCGAAATAAGGCTGCTGAGATGCACTGGGGACCTGGGCTACAGCTGGGCTGGATTTGCCCAGCGGCTTCGGTGGCAAAATCCTTGCAATAGGACCCAGCTACCTCCCAGATTAGACTTCAATTTGGAAGAGGTAAACCAGGTTATTAGAGTAGTGGGATAATCTCCTTTGTATATTTACATGTACATAGCTTCATGTGGTTAAAGTGACAATATGGTAAGAGGTGATGTTTCTAAAGAAAATTTTGAAATAATAATAATAATAATAATAATAATAATAATAATAATATCTTGGGCCTCTTCTTTCTCCTCCCACTGAGCCTTACCCCACTCACACCATCTCTTCCGCTGACCTCCAGCATTTTAAAGGGATGTAGGCAAACACCATATTTCATTTCTGCCCAAAACCAGATGTTTGGGGAGCAGTGATCTTACTCCATTTTTGGGGTGTCGCCTGGTGTGCTCCATACCCTGAGCATCCCTTAGTAGCATCCTTGACTTCATGGACAACCCTGTTTCTACTTCCACAAATGACCTCAAGCATGCATAAAACACCAACAGGATTCCAGAGAATGTGAGTTAATCTAGAGACCAGATTTGAATTTGTGCTTTCTACATCTTACTTTGACACAGGAAAGATCTGCAGGTCTGAGTGTAACAGAGCTTTCCCCTGAATGTGTTCTTCATTGCATTCTTTGCAGAATGTGTCCTTCCATTTGGATGGGAAATCATCCCTTTAGAGGTAGACACACCAGCAATTCCTTCTGTGCATATCGCAATACTTTTAAAATGGCTGTACCTCTTGCAAGGACACTGCCGTCACGTGTTATTTTGAATAAATAAACAGTAAATCAGGGTAGATCAAAACC